CCCATTATGAAGCGTTGAGGATTTTGTAAAAGTTTTATAAATAGTTCTATGTAGTTGAACAGCTGGACCAATAAAATGTATATCCGATTGTATGTGTCAATTAATTTCATTCGTACCTGAATGAAGATTTTCTCAATTAGTTCTCTTCGTGCTTCGTATTATTGTTCAATGATTGTATTTTAACCCTTTACACTCGGTGTTTTTCTTTGGTAAATCTTGCAGCAACTTTGACTTTTTTTTTTTGGCTTGTTATGCATGGTGTGATGAGTTACTTATTCGAAAGGATAATTAAAAAAATGTATTTTTGTATGTTCTGTATTTTTGATTGGATCTCCTGGACAATGTTGAACATCGTCTAGAGGAGAGAGGAGTGTTTCGAGTGTAAAGGGTTAAATGATGTCGTTAATTTCTATTCATCTGCGATAATTCGTTTGATTTTGTTAATCGGGCGATAATAAATGAAGGGATTACGGCTCATTAGCTGGAGGATATTGATTACGCGACGATGTGATAATTCTTGTTTATACGGAACTGGTATTGTGCAACTGATAACGCCAATTAGCTGGAACACACCGTATGGCGATTAATGTGAAAAGGATTCCCCTTTCCTGGATCCTGGATGAAGTTCGTGAAGTATCCAGAATTTAAAGTATGCAACAATTTTATTTCAGGACTTCCAATAATTATGAACTGCCTTCTAAATTGTTATTTAACAAGAAGCTGTAATTATTCTGTAATTAAAGTACCTGAAAGTAACGTCAGAAACTGTATTTTACTCTCTACGTAATGTTAAAGTAATTAAATATTGATTACAAGAATCAATTAAATATATATGCAATAGCCGTAGATAGGGATAGGACTAGTGTAATGAGTTAGACAAGGAAAGAAACAGGGATAAACAAGGATAGCACTATTGTAATGTGTTGGACAAGGAAAGATATAGCGGTAGACAAGGATAGCACTAGTATAATGAGTTAGACAAGGAAAGAAACAGGGATAAACAAGGATAGCACTATTGTAATGTGTTAGACAAGGAAAGATATATGGATAGACAAGGACAGAAAAACACGACGAGCGAGACTATCGCCATCTCGCGTTTGGCTTCGCGAAGTAACGACTTGTTACTAGTATAACATAATGTGAACAGAGCTATTAGACAAGGAAAGCACTAGTGTGCGACAAGGACAGAGAGAGGACGCTTCCTATTGGCTGGCTGGCCGTCACGGCGGACGTTCCAGGCCCAAATCGAGACGGTCGGTGAAAAATCGTTAATAACTCATTAATTAGGATGATTTTCTGAACTTTTACTATTGAAGAATGAAGTGTGGACCTTCAGCAACTTTCTCATATAGTTTTTCATGCACTGAATTCTTGCAATAATTAGTTATTAACAATTATTGTGCAGAGTGTCGGCAGCAGTACCGCACACCATTCAGGTTTTTCATTAATTTTGTAGCTTTATACAAATAATTTATGCACTTTCAGACATCTGTTCGAAAGGCTATTCCTTTACCTAGTTTCTCGTTATATTTTCATTAACATACCTGTCGTAATTTGCGAGATATTAAACATTATTTGGGCAAGTATTACACTCGTCGCATTCAAGCGTAATATATTTCCGTCATTTTCATTAATAACTCAATAATTACGATGATTTTGTGAACTTTTAGTATTGAAGAATGTAGCATGAACCTCCGGCAACTTTCTCATAGAGTTTTTACTGCTCTCGACCCTTCTAATAATTAGTTATTAACAATTTTAGTATGTGATGTCGGGAACGATATTGTATACCTTTACGGTTTTTCAACAATTTCATAGGTTTCTATTAAAATTCCCATGCATGTAACTATATGCATCTGGAAGGCAACTCCCTTAGCTACATTCTCATATAATTTTTATTAATATATTCGATTTAGTTCAAGAGTTATTAAATATTCTTTGGAAGAGTGTTACACCCGTCGTATTCAATCGTAACACATTTTCGTTATTTTAATAAAAATGCATGATGAATTACACACTTTTAAGTATGCAGAATGTAGAATGGACTTTTATCTTTATTCTTCAATGATTTTGGTAGACGTAAGTGGTGTGGTTTATTAGATATTAGCAATTGTTTATAACAGTTGACTATACTCGAGTACGATGAATAGGGAACTCTCTCATATAATGTTCATCAATTGCGAATATCTATGAATCCATCCATGAATTGTGAACTTTTGGTGTTGAAGAATGAAGAGTGGATCTTCAGCAACTTTCACATATAATTTTTATTACGCTAAATCCCTTCAATAATTAGTTATTAATAATTTTAGTATGTGATGTCGGGAACGATACTACATACCTTTACGCTTTTTCAATAATTCCATAGCTTTTAACTAAATTCCTATGCAAGTATCTATATGCATCTGAAGGGTAACACCTTTAGCTACATTCTTCTATAAGTTTCATTAACATATTCGGTATAGTTTAGGAGTTATTAAACATTATAGGGGACAGTCTCGTAACCATCGTAGTCGAGCATAATCAACTGTTATAAACAATTGCGAATATCTATGAATCTATCTAAAAATTGTGAACTTTTAGTATTGAAGAATGAGGAGTGGATCTTCAGCAACTTTCACATATAGTTTTTAGAGCGCTAGACCCCTTGAATAATTAGTTATTAATAATTTTAGTACGTGATTTCGGGAACGATATCGCACACCGTCAAGTATCTTTATGGTTTTTTAATAATTTCACAGCTTTCTGCTAAATTCTCATGCAACTGGCTATACTCATCTGAAAGGCAACTCCTTTGGCTATATTCTCGTATAATTTTTATTAACATATTCGGTTTAGTTACAGAGTTATTAAACATTATATGAGAGAGTCCCTTATTCATCATACTCGAGTATTGGCAAACGTCTTAAACAATAGCTAATATCTGAAAAACCACACCACTTACGTCTACCAAAATCATTGAAGAATAAAGATAAAAGTCCATTCTACATTCTGCATACTTAAAAGTCTGTAATTCATTACGCGTTTCTATTGAAATAACGAAAACGTGTTACGACAGAATACGTCGGGTGTAATACTCTCCCAAAGAATATTTAATAACTCTTGAACTAAATCGAATATATTAATAAAAATTATATGAGAATATAGCTAAGGGAGTTGCCTTTCAGATGCATATAGTTAGTTGCACGCAAATTTAGTAGAAAGCTGTGAAAGTATTGAAAAACCGCAAAGGTACTTAACGATGTGCGGTATCGTTACTGACATCAGGCATTAAAGTTATTAATAACTAATTATTGAAAGGACTTAGAGCACTAAAAACTATATGTGAAAGTTACTGAAGGTCCAGACTTCATTCTTCAATCATAAAAGTTCACAAAATCGTCCTAATTACTGAGTTATTAACGATTTTTCACCGACCGTCTCGATTTGGGCCTGGAAGGTCCGCCATGATGGCCCGCCAGCCAATAGGAAGCGTCCTCTCTCTGTCCTTCTCACACACTAGTGCTTTCCTTGTCTAATAGCTCTGTTCACATTATGTTATACTAGTAACAAGTGGTTACTTCGCGAAGCCAAACGCGAGATGGCGTTAGTCTCGCCTGTTGTTGTTTTTTTCTGTCCTTGTCTATCCATATATCTTTCCTTGTCTAACACATTACAATAGTGCTATCCTTGTTTACCCCTATTTTTTTCCTTGTCTAACTCGTTTCACTTGTACTATCCTTATCTACCGCTATTAGTTTTCTTGTCTCTCTTAGCTATTGCTATTATCGTCCCTATTATTAATAGTTATAATCAATTTATACTTACTTTACTAATAACGCAGATAGTACAATACAGTTTCTGGCTGATCTTCAGGTACTTTAATAATAGAATAATTAGTGTTTCTCGTTAAATAATAATTTAGATTGTAGTTTATAATTATTGGAAGTATTAAATAAGTTTGTTGCATAATATAACTTAATAAAATAGCTTAATTTGTTAATTTCGCATTGAAAGGAATAAGAAATGAAACAAAATCATCTGTTTACAAAATGCATAATTTATTATCAAATTTTACTGTGACATAACTGAACAATTTTTTAAAAAGTCCATTGTCGGTATTGCAGATGCAGGCAGTTGTTGACGTCACACTGCCAGCCCGAGCAATGTCGGTAACGATGAGAATGAAACAAGTGTGCTCATTGTCAGCGAGTGCAGAGCCATTGTAAGAATGAAAATTACTGCGCATATAACAAACGTTGACTCCACCACTGCGATGTTCGAGGTCACTTAGTTTGCTGAAAAGAAAGAAACGCCAGATAAGGAAAGAGGATAATATCGAGAAAATTATTATTATTTTATTATTTTCTTACGTTTTCCATTAAATGTACATATTTCCATTCGAATATTATTTAATTAAAAATTAAAAGGTGTACGCTATCAGAAAAGTAAATTTAAATATTCATAATCAAAAAGAAGAAAAGGGTTGATCAAATTTATTGAAAACCGACAGGTGGAACCGGGCTACATTTGAAATGAAAAAACTATAGGTAAACTCAGTCGGTAAATTACTAGAGAAAAACGAATAGAAATATGCACACTAAATCTCAGAACTCTCAATGCATGTTTAAAGACGAATAGAAATAATGAATAGTCTCTAATTTTCTGTACAAACTAAATACTGTATTCCCGTCTGCTATTATTTTTCTAGCATAAAGAAAAATCAAAAAATAATTTATTTAAAATAATTCATAAATTGTATTCCAACGATATTTCATAGAAATGAACCTATGAAATTCATCCCGTCGAATAAATTAAATTCCTTTATCGTTAGAGCAAAAACTGTTAAAATAATTGAAAAAGCGACCGTTAGTGGTGCTTTGGTCGATGTCGTTGAATCAATGAGAGTGAGTCGAGCGTGAATGGAGTGCAGGTGACGGAGTTGTTTCGCGTCCGATAAATCTCGACTCAGTCGACGTGGTTATCTCGATTGTGCGTATATCGGCGATCGTGGACGTTGTCGATAGCAGGGCCACGCACCGGCGTCAAAGCGTAGAAAGTGCTGCCTTACGGATGTCGAACAGGTGTCCCCACTTCGCTAGCCTAACCTCGACGTTGCTGCTCAGTAGCTCTGCAGTGTCTGATGTACACGTATGTGCGACGCACGGGATGCGCACCTGGAGGCGTTCTCGTTACTAGGTCATAAGAGGTGTGTATCAATGAGAATCGTGCTAATCGACCATTGCCCGTGGAAAGCAGTCACGTCGAAAGCAGCCACGGGAGCGGTCCGCGTGTGTGACAGCAAGCAACGCCGTTGCGTGAAGTGCACTCGTCGAGAGAAGTTCGACCGATCGTCCGCTCGACGCACCTGGCGTCTTTCGCCAGTCTGATCTATTGCCGTGTGTGCATTTCGCGTCCTGCTTTCCTTTCGTCCTGCACTCGTGCTTATACTAGCTGCTAACACTTTTAACGTGTGTACAGTATTACGAGGATCGCGAAACGCTCCTCTTGTGTCCGGGATCGCAGTGACGTATTGCGGGACTTGGTTACGTGCCGCGACGAATTCTACGCCGGCTATTAGTGTGCGTCTAATAACAGACTTTTGTGGTGCATCGTTTAGCACGAAGCCGACCAGAACGTAGTCCGTACGTATCTCATCGGTGACCGAGACGAAACGACGTCGGCTCGAAGCGGAGGCTGGCCGATCGAAAGAGCGCGCTCTCTCGACCAGGATAAAACTGGGTAATGTCTTTTTAGCCCGTGCTCGTGTCACGCGACCGATACGCAACCGACCATGTTGTGTGCACGTAACGGTGCTGCGTGGATAGGTATATACGTGTGATATTCGTTGCCCGAGAGACGTGGACGCGTCTGGCCTCGCGGCCAGATTGTTACTTGGCCGTTTACACAGAGATATATACATATATATGTATCTTATATATGTATATATATACACATCGTTTTCATGGCAGTGTGCGTTACGCATTTCCGATTCGTTCGGTAGAACCGTACGCGCGCGCGCCGGATTCCATCCCGTTCTTGCCAGTCCGGTCGTGAGGCGAGTAATCTTATTCTACCGGCTACGTCTGGGTATTCCGTTTAAAGGAATGCGGCACACCTGCTCGTCTTTTACTGTATGACGCGTTAAGGCATCCATCCGTGCATGCAAAAGAAATTTCGGGCTGATGATACGTTTTATTTTTCATAAAGTATAGTGTCGCTCGGGATCCATAGCATCGGCAGATCGCTGCGCGAATAACCTTCATTAACGAATGGAATAAATAATTCATGAAGAGAAGCCGGTTCTTTCCGTCGGGGAACGTTAAATAGGTAAATGCAGCATACCTTGACGGTGATTAATAAAACGAGTGAAAGGTTCGCTGCGTGCAAAGCTCTTTGTCGTGGGCCGTGATGAGTGAATCGAACAACTCAAGACGACACGTTACTCGACTCGCAAGGACACGTGTACCCAGCCCCGATCGGACGGACCCCTTGTGCAGTTACGACAAAACAATTCCGTTTCGATATGCCGCGTTATAACAGGCTTCGAAAAGCACGATCGCGCGGAACGCGTGTTAAAATTGCAATTGTTATTCGAAAATGGTATCCGTGGAATCTGGTCGGCCCGGTAATCTCACAATTAGCATATCTTGGTTAGGGTAACGCTTTGTAATGCCAACGATAAATACGCGAGCGATTCCACTGATCGTAATACGATGAAATTTCCGATCGGCAAAGCACTTGGTTTGGGAATTCGGTAAAAGGAAAATTGCTGGTGCATGATCTCTCGGTAAACGTGTATATCGTGAACGAATGTGAGGTTAGGATAACAGCGTCATATTTTTAGGATGCATTATAATTATCTCTTACATTTTTAAACTAAACATGACAATTGAATTAGAAAGGAGAACATTATCTCATAATATCTATTATGTATGTTCGATACAGACAGGTTGACCGGTTGAATAGGTTAATTTCTCGATATTAGAAATTTTTCTATATCCAACTATATTTATACGGTAGATAAGATTAATTTCGCCGATATCTGCTCAGACGAGTATTCTATTATCGTTTACCGGAAAGTAGAGCGTCCTGTTCAACTCGGGTTGACTGCATAATTGGTTTTAAAATATTCCTTTTGCTCGACACGGGGAAAAATATAGTTATTAAACGTTGCTAATTAACCGTTTTAAATACTCAGCTAGCTGCAACCTAGTGCAATCAAATTAAGCAGTTTCAAGTGAGAAGATTTCGTTAGATTAAAATGTATCTCGCCCTCTTGCTTCCTTCCCTTGCTCCGTTTGCTCTTCGTCTGGCGTTAATTATGCACGAAGCGGTGAAATGTCGACTAACCTCATATTTTATGCACTAGATCCGGCGTGTTTTCGAATTCGAAGCGATTCTGTCGGTATGGTAGTTCATTTCGCGCGTAATTCCGCACGAAGACCCTACGACGAACATCGAACTTTAACGGTAATGCGGTATATGTCACAGACGACACCATACGACAAAGGGAAACCGGGAAAAGAAAAGAAAAGAAAAGAAAAGAAAAGAGGAGGAAACGGGTCGCGAGGCGACGACTTTCATGAGTGAAATAAACTGTGAACGCAACGCTCACCGAGTGAAAAGGGTAATTTGTAAATTCACCAGGTCTTTGAGCGTAGTGTATGCGCACGCCTCGATTGTAATCGAACGATAAGCAACGCGTATCGTTTTTCGCGCGAACCGTCGGTATTATCTGAAACGAGCCATTTCAACTGAAAACCTTTTTAGAAACTCGTATTCCGCTGGTAATAAAAAGTACGGCTAGGCTCGTGATTATCCGCACACAATAACTAACCTCACGTCTGTTTTTTGTTTTTCGTTCCTTCTTTGGTCACAGTGCATGTACACTATGCACAAAAGTTTGAGGTTATGTGTTATTTCGCACCGAACAATCAGTGTATACGCCAATCATAAATTAATAGAGATTCGTTGAAAGAAATAAGAGTATTTCTTTATTTTGTGAATTAATAATTATAAGCAGATATTTGTGAAAACAATTTTCTACTTATCGTTTAGAAATATTTCATATAATTAAAGCTTAAGGACTTGACTGGTGAAAGGGCTTTGCAATCTTTAGATTATGAACTGCATTCAGAAACGGAATTACATAAATGTGATTTAATTTGAATTCCATGAAATCACAGTTGTGTACAATACTTTTGAATGGTAGTGTATATGCGATGGGCTTTACGAAACAGCCGTTTGCCCGCGGTGGTTTATCGGTGCCCGTACGAGAAACCTTTAAAGACTGCTTTAACGAGAATCGTTCGCGACACTCGACCCGCACGGTCGAGGCTTTCAATACGCCACACGGACCTCTTGTGATTCGATTTGTAACGCTACGCGATTGAACGTTCGGCTCGCGGCGATGCGGGATACTTGATACATCGGATAGATCGATAAGTTAAGTGTACCACTTATACGATACCACGGTAATTCTTATTACCGTATGTGCACAACAGCTGTTGAAGGTAAATTCTTTTTAATTATTTTTCCTTGTTAAACCGTACTTAACAGAGAAGCATTATGCTTGTATGCAATTTGAAAAAGTAATAAGATAATTTTATGTTCAATTTTCGCGATCAATTTATCTTATCTTATGATAGTATTGCTTTATTCACATTGAACATCGGTAAATAACGATCGGCATGATAAAGTTCGTGGTGGCCTTGAGTGACTACTTGAATCAAGTGTGCCGCGAATTCATATAGAGGTTATGTTAAAATTGCATTTCATTTCGAAATTGCTGAATAATTTAATTAATTTCTTACTTACAAATATGAAATAGAAGTAGTTATAAAGAAGAAAGATAGAATTGTACGAATTCAGTTTAAAATACGTATAATAACGTATCACGGTGCTCGGATTAATCTGCAGAGCGTTTCAGAAAAATATGTATCAATCATTCTGCGCATTTCCTGTACACGTACCATTGTTAATTCATTCACCATTACCCGGAAAACTTTATGCCGGTTTTGTGACCCGTATAAAACGGTGCGTAATAACGGTATTCGTATGATACTGCGATCTTCATTGTATCGCTGTTATTGTCGAGGCTCCACCGGCATAATTGGAAGTACTACCGGCATTACGAATCTCGAAATGGGAGATAAGAAGTTGGGAAAGGGTATGATGGTGATAGCGGGGGAATTATCGTCGGACGTGGAAAGTGTTTTGCTTAAATGTATGCATTTCACGACGTTTAGTCTCTTTGTAATGTAGAACAACAATTTAACAAATTATTCGCAAGAAAACGTAAACGTAGGTTATAAATGTTGACGATAAAAAAAACTGGAATGTTAATTGCTCGTAAAGCAACAAAGTATTATTTATTACCATACGTGGAATAGTATTTATAACCTCTACGTTCCACGCTGTTTTATTTCTGCACACAGTACCGTTGTATTTGGTAATATTTCAACATCGGTAATATTTATTTTCTTCAAAGAACACAGCAATGAAATCCCTGCTTTTGTCTTGCTTCGATGCATTATCTCTGCAAATAACATCGTTCCACCCGAAATCTAATACCTCTTGACTAACAGTAAAATCTGCACACGTTAAAACACACTGCACACATAACCTCATTCATACGTATTTTCATCTCCACGCCACCGTATTACTATTATTATCATTACATCATTCTTATTATGCAAGGAATACTACACAATTATACGATAATACGAAATAGGATAATAAAAGCAAAAAGGATAATACAATTAATAACTTAACAATAGACTGTATATCGATGTTAACCTAAAGGCCTATCTCTAAACTACCATATTCTCGCCCATATAAATTACAAAACAATAGTTCTTAATCGAGCCCACGCAGCGTTAACCTAGTTTTGTCACCTTCCAGGCGTTTATTTGTTTCCTTCGTCGATAAATCGCTGGCGAGCGGAACGCGGCGAGTAGGCGCGATTTTCAATGGAAGAATTTCATTCGCGGGCCAAACAATGGACGGACGCCGAGACTTAAATCGTCGTCGCGCGGGTTAATTACGTCGGCACTCGTGGCGCGAATTGCATCGCTGCCAAGGATGCTCTGCCATGAATTCTGTCGCGTATTGGATAGCGCCAACTTCATGCCTCATTTTACCGCGCGAGTGACGTAGGGCGCGGCGACGACCGGACGTGGGCTGGTTCCTAGCCCGAAATAACTT